TAGACAGACAGTGTATCACTCTTCCTCCTGTACATCAGCAGATCAAAGGCATCACATACTTGAATGAATGGTAAATAAAGAATGCTGGAAATAACTGCATCTCCATAGCCTATATGCTGCAGAGACTGCCTTCTTCGTGTCGTGAGTTGCAGCTGATGTTTTAAGAGGGCAATTGGCAATTTGACTTATACAACATTCGCAAGTTGTACATTTGACTCATACAATAACCCACCTTCGAGTGATGCTCTAGTTTCTTCATGTTTTGTTTTTTGCGCCGGACTGAAACTGTCTTTTCACCGACATCTCTTCACCTGCACTAGTGGCCGTATCAAAGCCGTGATTGGTCATATGTCGATTCATTGCAACGGTGTCGGGTTACAGACGTGCTCCCCTTGTCACCTCTCACTCTCGCGGGGGGTGCGCGGAGAACTGAGCGGAGAACTGCGCACAGCAGCTGAGGCCCTCTGGGCGGGGCCCCCTGCGCAAGGCGGGGCGCCATGCAGCCTGCGTGATTGGCCTGTAGGGAGGGGCGGCCCTGCACTACAGTATCCTGCTGAAGGAACGGTGATTATTATAAAGAAGGGGAATTTAGCGATCACAACAAAAACGGCCAAGACACACATTGAGCCCAGAAAATGAATGTTATTAAGGGCTGTAAATATAATAAGGCTCTGTCTAAAATTGACAACATTGTTAGGAGATTTAAACTATACAGCGATTCTGCACTGAGGTCACTCAGCCGTCTCTCCACTTTGTTTTTTCAAATCAGCTGCTCTTCATTATTCCTGCTATATTTGACGAGTGATACAAATATTTGTTACCACAAGTTCTTAAGGAACTTGACACTGTTGGACTCGGTTCTAGTTTGGCTTCTACCAGAAATAAAATGAAGTACTTTAACTGTGTACTTTGTGAGTAGGCCTAATCCTCTGTCAAAGTCCCCTCCATAATGCATGTTTTTCATGCGCCCGCTGTATGAGGCCCTCAAGGACAAGTCCCCCGGCCAGGCCATAGACTGGACGGCTGAAAGGGAGGTCGCTTTCAACGCCACCAAAGCCGCCCTGAGCGAAGCCGCCATGTTGGCTCACCCGTCACACAGGGCCCCCATCGCTATCACCACCGACGCGTCTGACTACGCGGTGGGCGCGGTGCATGAACAATGGGTCGACGGCGCCTGGCAACCGCTCGCCTTTTTCAGCCGCCTGTTGACTCCCAGGGAGCGCAAGTACAGCGCTTTCAACAGAGAACTCCTTGGTCTCTATTTGGCGGTTCGCCACTTCCGTTTCCTGCTGGAAGACCGGGAGTTCGTGGATCACAAGCCACTTACCTTCTGCATGTCCAAGGTGGCCGAGCCGTGGTCCGCTCGACAGCAACGCCAGCTTTCGTACATCTCCAAGTACACCACGGACATACGACACATCGCTGGCAAGGCTAACGTGGTCGCGGACTGCCTCTTCAGAGGGGTCATCGAAAGCCTCGATTACCTCCGCATGGGCGCTGACCAGGCCTCTGACCACGGGGTCCAGACCCTCAATGCCTCGGTCACGGGATTACGCCTGGAGGAGGTCACGGTCGGTAACTCTGGCGCGAAGCTGTGGTGTGACGTCTCCACGGGCCAGCCTCGACTGCTGGTCCCTGCGGACTGGCGCCGACCCGTTTTTGTGGGCGGTTCACAATCTTTCCCACCCCGGTAGGAAGCTGTCCGTGAAGTTGTTGTTGCAGAAGTTCGTGTGGCAGGGGCTTAAGATGGACGTGAGGTCCTGGGTCGACTCATGCGTGGCCTGTCAACGGGCCAAAGTCCACCGCCATACTAGGGCCCCTTTTGAACTTTTTGCGGTTCCTGAGAGGAGGTTTGACCATGTCAATGTCGACCTCGTAGGTCCGCTTCCCCCCTCTCACGGTTTCACCTACCTGTTTACGATGATGGACAGGACCACCCGCTGGCCCGAGGCTGTTCCCCTCACCTCAAAGTCAGCTTCCGACGTCGCCCGCGCTTTCATCGGCACGTGGGTGGCGCGCTTCGGGACCCCGTCTGACCTCTCCTCTCACCGCGGTTCTCAGTTCACCTCGGAGCTGTGGAACGCTGTTGCTGTGGGTTTGGGGGTCAAGCTGCACCGCACCACCGCATATCACCCCCAGGCTAACGGATTGTGTTTCACCGGTCCATGACAGACGGCAACTGGGTGGATAAGCTCCCGTGGGTTATGCTCGGCCTCAGGTGTGCCCCCAAAGAAGACCTGCAGTCCTCGTCGGCGGAGCTCATCAATGGCCAGATGCTACGGGTCCCCGGGGAGTTTATTCCCACCGCCACTGTGCCCTGGTCTGCGGCCGGGCAGCGCTCCTCCCTGCTGGAGACCGCCGGGACATTCACGCCCGTCCCCACGTCGCAGCAAAGCAAACCAGCTTTCCGGGTGTCCCCCGGATTACGGTCGGCGCATTTCGTTTTTATTTGCCACGACGTCCACCGCGGTCCCCTGCGGCCCCCTTACGACGGTCCGTTCAGGGTCATACGTACGGGACAAGAGCCTGGTGGTGGACGTTGGTGGCAGGCCTGAGACTGTGTCCGTTGATCGGATTAAGTCTGCTCACGTGGACGTTTCCAGGCCGTTGGAGTTGACTCTGCCCCCACGTCGGGGCCGCCCTTCCATGGCCCGCCCCCTGTGGGGATGCCCTCGCCCTCGTTGGCGCCCCTGCCCCTGCCCTCGCCTACTACCCCGCCCTCCTCGGCCACTGTGGTCCGTACGCGCCGGGGTCGGGTGGTACTTCCTCCCAGGCACGAGGATTTTGACTATGGGTGAATTCTGAGCGGGCTTGTGTGGTGATTGACATTATTTACCCACGGATTTATGGGTTGGGGTATTGTTCCGCACGGAAATTTTAGTGAACCGGACTTACTGTTTCCGCCGGTTTTCGCTTTCCGGGCATGAAGTTGTTTACATGTGTGTTCAGATGCTAAATGAAAGTCTAGCTTGTACCTTTGATACCCCGCCTCCGACTCCCGTCTCTCGGCACTACACTACTAACAATACATTGAAGTACTTTTACTGTGTATTTTTTGAGAAATCCTCTGTCCCCTGCTGAGAACACAATCAAGCCACTTCTGCTAAGTTTGATGAGGGAATTCTTTTTTGTTGCCATTAGTTCTTCGTGAGATTGATCCTTTTGGACTAGTGAAACCCCCACAAGTACTATGAAGTACTTTTACAGTGTACTTTTTGAGTAATCCTCTGTCAATGTCCCCTCCTGAGTACAAGAATGCATGTTTCTCTGCTATTTTTAATAAGCGTTAAAAAACCTTTCTTCCTGAGACTGATATTGTTGGACAGAGTATTTTAAGAGGATATGGTAGACATAATATCAGCAATACTTCCAGTCAGTACTCCGGCCAGGGCCGGCCCTTGGCATTAGGCAGTATAGGCGAATGCCAAGGGCGCATCAACCAATCGGGGGCGCCGAAAATTGGGGAGAAAAAAAAAGAAGTTAGAAATTTTAAAAAAACAACACAATTTCCCGATTTTGGATCAACAAAGTACATCTTATTATCTTACATTAACAGAACTACGCCTATATTGCGTACAGCGCCAATAAACTATGGCACACACCCCCCCAGTAAAAACCAGAGCTTTATGTGAAATAGTTATTTTTTTGAAATAATGGTTTTAGTGTGCAATTATAGGTTTTCATTTTGTATTCGTGTTAATTTAAAATAAATCAAACTCCCAAAAAACGTACACAGCTTCTGTGTGCTTTTATTAACATTGGAATTTACTGTGTAAGCGGCCGCGGGGGGAGAGAGCTTTAGAGAGCTCTCTCCTGAAAGACTGAGCGGCTCTGATAACCTCAGCTCAGTGAGGTAAAGGCACACCTTTATATGATCATTATAGTTATAAAAAAATAAGAGAATAGGTGAAAAACAGGTATAAAATACTATGTGACAGTAAAAAAAGTTGTTATTAATAAACAACAATACAGTTTGAAAGAGGAGTGATTTGTAAAATATCCATAAAGAAAAAGAAAATCTGCTTACAGTTCTGTTTCATCTGGGTGTTGAGAGATGTATCCATAGATCTCCTAATGTAGCTCTCAAAGTGCACCAGATTGATGCTTTCAACTTCAAGATTTAAAAAAGTCTTCCCGGAGCATGCCCCCGGACCCCCCTAGAGGAGGTGGGGACCCCCCCCCACTTAAATGATAAATCATGTTCAAATGGATAGGAAACTAAATACATTTGCACACATCTTGTGTCCATATCTTTCTGTTTTGGTGGTCATGCCACAACCGTGCACGTGCATGCATGCGCGAGTCATAGTGAGTCATGAACAGAGCCGTGATCAGCTGGAACTCTTTACCGGTCCACATCACTCAGGAACATTCTCAAGTACATTTCAAAAGGTTGCTAAAAAATATTTAAGTATTACAAAGTAAATTTGAACTGTGCCTGTGGCTATGTGTGCATATATTATTATGTACACTTATTTGTATTTACTTTTGTTTGGCCTTAGGATGGCGATAATTGGATGACCATTTTAGTTTTCACTTCATTTCACTGTAAATTGCATGAAATTATGAGCTGTTTTGTTTTAATGTTGTTGTATGTTTGTTTATGTATGTTTTGTGTGTGTGAGGACCCCAGGAAGAATAGCCAATGCTCATGCTAGTGCTAATGGGGATCCTAATAAAGATAAAGACAAAGGTCCCTCAAAATTGTACTTAAGTACAGTACTTGATTAAATGTCCATGTAGCTTGTTCCAGTTCCTCGCTTTCCTTGACTTCCACTGCCATGCAATTCATGTTCAAATACCCGCTGGAATTACGAAGGAAGTTTGGGGGAAACTTGGTAATGTGATTAATTTGATGTAAACGTTTTTGACACGTTAAGGTTTGCAGATTATTCGCAACCATTTTTTGACGGCACAAATTTAAACCAAAATGTATCATTATGATGGATTTGATTGAAATGCTTGCATTATAAAGTGTGTGTTTATGTATTTGTCTCCAGGGTTACTATTTCGTCTCTCAGAATGGAGACCATGAGAGATTTGGATGATGAGGAGGAGGACACAACTTCAGTGTCCAGAAAACCTCCAGATTTGAGTAAAACACTTGGAGCATCTGCCACAAGGTAAGAATCTGTTTCTGCTGTGAACTGACCTGAAGAGGAGTCTGGTCTGATCTGAGTAGCAGATCACAGTTCGTGTGTGTTGGGGGAGGGGCTCTGTGAGGAAGGGGCAGATTTGTTCCGGCTGTGTATTTTCAAATTCTAGCCACTGGAGCTGGTTTCTCCAAAATTACATACCCCACCTTTAAAGTAAATGAACTTGGAACGTCTAGAACGTTTCACTCTCACAAAAGAATTGTAACAACAGAAACCCTCAAACACCATTTTTAAAACATAAAGTTTAGAGTAAGAACAAAAATCTTTAAAGGGGAAAGAAAATCAAAACTGAAATCAAAAGCTGCTTTTTACAAGAACTAGTGATGTGTGTAAAACATTTGTCGTTTCCACAGACAGAGAGCAGAGTCTCCAGTCCCCAGCTGTCTGTCTCTGAAGAGTGACCGGTCTATGGGGAAACCTATCTACTTCAGTAATGAACCTGGACCCTCAGACACAGAGTAAGAGTCTGTTTCTACTATGAACTGACCTGAAGAGGAGTCTGATCTGATCTGAGTAGCAGATCACAGTATAGAAACACAGTAGAGCATCACTGTGGAGTTCAGTCATGAAACAAAGTCAATGAGAGGAAAGAAACCCAGAAGTGGAAAGTAAAGAGGTAACTGAGCTCTGGCTGTGCTCATCAGCAACAGTTAATCATCTACTATTGTGAAATCATTCTCACACTCGACATGTAGGACTTTGTGTTAGGTTAAGTAAATGAACTTGGAACGTGTAAAATGTTTCACTCTCACAAAGAATTGTAACAACAGAAACCCTCAAACACGACTCAAAAACTGAAAGTTCAGAGAAAGTCCAAAAATCTTTAATGAAATCAAAAGCTGCTTTTTACAAGAACTAGTGATGTGTGTAAAACATTTGTTGTTTCCACAGACAGAGAGCAGAGTCTCCAGTCCCCAGCTGTCTGTCTCTGAAGAGTGACTGGTCTATGGGGAAACCTGTAAACTTCAGTAATGAACCTGGACCCTCAGACACAAGGTAAGAATCTGTTTCTACTGTGAACTGACCTGACAAACACACATATATATATATTAATGCTGTCAAAATTATCGTGTTAACGGCGGTAATGAATTTTTTGAATTAATTGCATTAAAATATTTAACGCATTTAACGCATGTGCAGAATGGCCCGCCCCATACATCCCACCAGTGGCAGCGCCAGGGTATGGCTGGGGTAGGCTACACCCATACCAATAAATGGTTTAGCCCCACCATGAAAAATGTTGTTAAAGTAAGCAAAATAAAGTCCGCCAACTCGCGCCGAGAATTGCACAGACAGCAGTTAGTAAGATTGATTTCAGTAGCCACTTGTCTGGAAATACTGAAGACCAGAAACGGTTTTGAACACTTTTGTCACGTAGTGATCGTCTTCTCAATATAACATATTTGATAATGTCTTCTGGCCAATCAGAATCAAGATAACGGCGTGGTGTTGTTGCAGGAAGTCCCGACGGAGAATACTTTTGCTGTAGTAGGTGCACATAACTGCGTACCGTCACTTGTGTCACAAAGCGCATTTGCGTACCGACGTACTTGTGAAGCTTTTCCAGAAGGCGGTTAGATCACCGGACGAGAGAGTCGCTGCGCTAAAACAGCTGATCACAACGTTCACACTCTGTGGTCACGAAGTAATCCACTAGCCCCCCGTCCCGTCGACTTTCCTGAAGTACTCCCCCATTGATAGAAATCAACACGTAATGAATTAAGACCCCACGGTTTGATGATTGATAGGTGCTCTCTTTCATTTTGACACACAGAAAAATGTTACAATAAACATGTTAAATGGATATATCTACCTTCTTTCATTTATCTTTCCATTTCCACAACAATATACATAAAGAAATGACATATTTTGGACATAGTTCGAATGGTGATTAATCATGATTAATTAATTTTAAAGCTGTGATTAATCTGATTAAAACTTTTAATCATTTGACAGCCCTAATATATATATATATATATATATATATATATATATATATATATATGCCATCTGATCACTTTAAACTCTTCTTTAATAATTACATGAGTGCAGTAGCCCACAGTATAGAAACTCAGTAGAGCTCAGTATAGAAACGCAGACGTACTTGAATCAGATAAGGAAAATATCGGCACCTAGAGCTCTACAGTACTTCATATTGAATTGAAGTTATACGTTTATGTGTATCAACCATTGATTGTTAGTTTGATTATTAATGGAGCAGCCACAACGTTAGCTGAGTCTAACTCCACTCAATCTAATCTCCATTCAGGAACTAGCATTTTTAAAGTGATTTGCTTTCCATGTTGTGGACAGACCTGACAAAGTGTTCACTGCTTTTACAAATTGGAATCAGTATGTAGTTATTATTAAACAAGTTTAATTTAGCCGTAGTAAAACTTGTGAGGTACAGTGAACATGCTGTAGGCGATGATGTTACAGACAGAAGGGCGTTTGGTTTCATAAATATATGAATAACTAAATATCTACCACTTGGGAACAGTTATCAGGATGAAATATCATCTACAGATAAAGAACTTTAACAAACAAATCAAACAAGAATTTGTCATCTTTGGGTTGTTCCATTGGTGAAAATCAGTCCCTGTAATGTGCTATAAAGGATGTGTTGATCTCCTCAGAGGGAAGAGGAAGAGTGGTGTTCCTGTGGAGGAGCAGCTGTCCAGCTGTGCTCTGTGTCAGGACGTCCTGAAGGATCCAGTCTCTACCAGCTGTGGACACTGGTTCTGCAGACAGTGCATCACCTCATACTGGGAGCAGCGCCCTCCATCAGGAGACCCCTCCTGTCCCCAGTGTGGAAAGAGATCCAGAACTGGACTGCAGACAGCCAGTCAGACCAGAACAGTAAAAAGTAAGTCTGAACATCTGTCCAGGGTTTCCCACAGATAGACTTTACTTGGGCTGGTTAGGGTTAGGAGAGGCAATGGACGTCCACTCTCGGGAGACGTCCGACAGTGGTGCGGTTACCCAAAATGACAGACCTAATTTTACCCAGGAATAAGTGTTTGAAACGTGGGGAAAAGTGGTGTGAATAGAGGGAGAGTGTACCCAGACAGTAGGAGGCAAAACATAGCTTTTCTACCCAGGAAAAGGGTTTTAAACGTTGGGAAAAGTGGTGTAAATAGAGGCAGAGTGAACCCGTGAACTCAGAGAGCAGGCTGTGCAGAAAATGTAAAAAAGTATCCAAAAATAGTGCCTCATAATTAGGGTTGGGTATCGTTTGAATTTCCACGATTCCGATTCTAGTTTTCGATTCCGATTCTTAACGATTCTCAATTCCGATTCTTTGAGGGGCAGGGTAAAAAAATGATACATGCTTCTTTCACCAAAAAAACAACATTTATTTGAGTGACTGAAGCTACAACACTGCAACAGTCCAACTTTTAAAGTTTAAAAACAGTTCTTATTGAGGAAAACAAGCATATCTGCCTTCTCAGGCAGTATGCGTGAGCGTTCAGCACAGATTGTGTCACCAGCAGTCGAGAAAACACGTTCACTGGGTGTAGAGGAAGCCTGGACACATAAATATGAGAAGGCCATGTCTGACAGGCAAGGATAGGTTGTTCTCATGTTCCACTGTCCACGGTCTGGGCAGCTAGAAAATGTGTATAAATGTCTTTGCGTACCGAAATGTAGGTGCTTCTACTTCTGAGAAGGGATGCAGCCTTTTCACCACAAAAGCGGTGACTTTTCTGTGGCACTCCTCACGTTTCTCTACTGTCATCTTTCCCTTTGCTGCTAAGGTGAATGGGTTGACACGGGCTGGGACGGGCTTGTTAGCTTGAGCCGTTGTAGCCGCGCAACTACGCGACCGCAAACTTTCATCTACAAAAATATAGAATATCCACACATTTTACACACAACCTCTCAAACAAAACAACCATCCTTTAGTTTTGAGTAATGTTAACTTACATACCTGATTGCGAGGGCTCCGCTGAGGGAGTGCTCGGTGTTGGTTGAGCCGGGACGACAGCGGAAGACGACGGTGGTTGTGAGGCGGACGGAGACTGGCGAAACAGGTTGAAAACGGGACACTCCTTGATCTGTATACCGTGCAGGCGAAGGTGTTTCGTCATATTGGTCGTGTTCCCTCCTTTGGAGGAAATAAGTTTGGAACAGGTGTTACACTCTGCCGACCCATTGTCTTTCCTAACAAAGTGAAGCCACACTTTAGAGCGTCTACCGCTCATGGTGGTCCCAGGTTAAGCTGTGTAGAAGTGTAGGTACAACGCTACATTTCCCGCCCCAGTAGGCTACGGAGAGCGGCGAGAGAAATTTCCTCAGGCATCGAAAAGCGGAACCGAAATTCACATTTCTAAACGATGCCGTTGGAATCGAAATGTTGGAACCGGTTCTCGGTACCCAACCCTACTCATAATGCGGGTAGAGTCCCCTATCAACTCCCCTTGCTTTCCTCCAGAGTCAACATTTGTAAGAGTAATTTTTTTGAGAACCAGAGAAAAGGGGTGAAAATTAGAAAATGTATCCCAAAATAGTGCCTCATAACGCGGGTAGAGTCCCCTGTCAACTCCCCTTGTTTTCCTCCAGAGTCACATTTGGAGTGAGAACCAGGAGAAAGGAGGGAAAATGAACAAAAGTATCCGAAAATAGTGCATCATAGATGTTGCAGAGTGAGGCTTATGAGGTTGACTCTGCAGCACATGTGCTGCACCATGCATCATATGTGGTGATTCTGTCTCTAAACCCAGATGATCACACCCTACAGAACCTCATACCCCTGGTAACCCTAAAAGGGGGGTGTATTTTGCGGTGCTTTACCGTCCGCACATCGGCATCCATATTCGGCCTTCTTCACGGCACCACCAACCCCCCTCCTGTGGAGGATATTCTCATGCTCCTGGTAACCCTTTAAATAGTTTGATACTACCAGGGCTCATCACTGCACTTTACAAGCCAGAAATAATGTTTAAATGGTCGGGAAAAGTGTTTTTAAACATCTGGAAGACAGTTTTAGCCTGTCATTTTGCATGATATCATTTAACATTGACCCTCTCCTGAAAATGCACATATTCTGTGCATTTCCAGGAGAGGGTCAATGTTAAATGATATCGTGAAAAATGACAGGCTAAAACCCAGGAATAAGTGTTTTTGTTAAGTCCCTCATTTGTTACGTCCCCACTAAGGTCTAGGGGACCTGGAGACAATAACATACAACCAATAAAAAATGAGGGAGTCAGCGTAACAGTTTACAAAAGGTTTATTTTGTAAACCCAGAACCGAACAGACATATAACTGAAACCTTAGTTGGTGAGGAGGAGGAGGAGTCAAAGGATTGCGCCAAACAAAATAAACAAGCATAACAAAACCAGGCCTATCTCTACATCTATCCTTTGAAACCAAAACTCAAACAAAAACCCTCACTAACTAAACTACGAAGAAGTTGACAAAACAATATACAGGGGTGGCAACAATCCGCTAACCTAGTGTGTCTAAACATTAGTTAGCTACGTGGTGAGAAATGTACAGGGTACCCCAGACTTACCTAACTCCTCCACCTCTCAACACACACACTTTCAAAAGGGTCAGACAATACAAGGAGCATGAGTTGCTAAACACTGCAGTCAATTGCAGGTTCCTCAATCAGCAACAGGCCCAGAGTGAGAGAGCGAGAAGACTTCCTGGGTGCCTCCTTTATGGTCGGCCCTGGCTGCTGATAGGCCAGCTGAGGGGGAGAGGATCCAATCAGCCATCAGACTCAGGTGCACAGGCAGATACCGATCAGCTGCTGATTAGCTGTGCAGAAGACAGGGAGAAGAGAGAAACACAGGAGGGAAGGAAAACCACACAAGTACAGCCTGCCTGGCAAGTAACCCCCCCACACATATAAATCCAAACAGTATGTTTGGACCTTACAATGAACATTCTATTTACATAGCACGAGATAGTGCATCGGCAAGAACATTATCGGACCCCTTTTTATGGCTTATGTCAAGGTTGTAGTTCTGGACAATCAATGACCAACGCATAAGGCGTTGATTGTGGTTGTACACCCTTGAAAGAAAAACCAGCGGATTGTGATCAGTGTATACCTTAATAGGTTTTACACTGGAGCCCAGATATACCTCAAAGTGCTGCAAGGCAAACGATAGAGCTAAAGCTTCTTTTTCAATAGTAGAGTACTTCAACTGATGTTTGTTGAACTTTCGGGAGAAGTAGCTCACGGGGTGATCGATAGCCTGTGCATCTTCTTGTAGAAGAACAGCCCCTGTCCCAACTCCACTGGCATCGACCTCGAGCTTGAATGGCTTCAAAAAGTCTGGTGCAGAAAGAACAGGAGTACAACACAGAATACCTTTTAGGCTCTCAAATGACTGTTGACACTCACCAGAGTGTTGTTTAAAATAGTCTGATACCTCCAATGCGCATCACCGCATTTTACAAGCCAAGGAAGGTGTCTGAATCCTGGGTAAACATTGTTTAAATAGTCTGATACCTGGCACTGTATCTGCCCCTGGGAACCTTCAAGATTATATTAATGTTTTATTATTTATTTATCACACGATTTTTACAAAAACAGTATACAATATACATAATAAAAACCTGATTAGCGGGGGCCCGGGGGCCATATTAGCCGTCTAACTTGTACGGTGCACCGGGGAAAAAAGGTTGAGTCCACGGCCCCTACCCCCTCATCAGGAGTATCAACCGGCCCTGAAGAAGAGGTATCGCTGCTCTCCGCCCCTGAGCCCTCTTCGGAGGTATCTGACGGCGGTAGACCTCCTTCCGATGATGCTGCTGCAGTTGCTGCCGCACTGAACATGGAGCGGATCTTCAATCCCTCCTTTATTCTAGGCCTATTCGCGTAGAACCGGTCTGCAGTGCTTACGTCGTGACACATAAACCTGGCGAGAATCGACCTGCTTTCTGGATTTTGGTGATGCTTGATATTGTCAGCCAGGGCAGTGCGCAGGATTGTGAAGGTGACGGCTGTTTCTAGCCCAGCATCAGCCCAAGCCCTCTTCAAGTGAGCGTTCAGGTTCCTGGAGGCATGCTTCCCCGTTGTGAAAAGGAATAATTCATTCTGAGGACCCGACAAGCCCTCTTTTATCCCCATCCACCGCATGACCCAGCTCAACTCCTTTACTGTAAGCACCAGCTGTGCTTCGCCAAATGTCTTGGCAGTCTTGTGATCCTGCACGTGGATGATGTAGCCCTCAGCAGTGCCCCTTCTGTCCGCCTCAAAGACCTCAGTGTTGGTCATGTTTGCGTACACACCCGGACGGTGGCCATACAGGAGGCTCCAATGGAGGGTTAGATAGCTATATAGCAGGTACTGGGTGATTGAGGTCGGATTGCTAGCCATCAGGTCAAGGAGATCAGGGATGCGCTTCTCAGCGGCCGCCATGGCGGCGAGAAGCTCCGCCTGGCTCGGCAGACGATCCAGCTTGTTCCTCTTCACCTTAAACTGGTGGACAGTGACAGACTTTTTCAAGTCACTCATGTTGGCTGTCACCTCTCTGATGATGTGGGTCATATCAGACTGGGTGAGCCTGCACTTGAGCTTTGACTCAGACAAGTACCTCAGGAAATGGTTCACATTCTTCAGGAACAACAGCGATGTTGTGACTGCCCGGCCCGACTTTGAAATATACTCGCTCCAGCCACGGACCCTCTTCGTGTCTTTTAGGAACAGCCAGTCTGACAGCCGGTTAACACCATGGGCCATGAATACGAGGAAGTTCTTTATCAGGCTGACCTTGGACAGACAATTTTCTTTCCGTTTTACTGTCGGTGCGACACCCTCACAATGATCCCTGTATATCTGAATGTACGTCTCCATGCTTTTAGGCAACGTGATTTCACGCATGGTATTCCCCCGTCCCTTCCCAG